AGCACGCAAGGCTATGGGCCAAATGCTAAAAACTGGGACCAGAATAGATGGAGGTTTGATAATCTGCACTGACACGATGGGCCGAATGGTTGTCTTCCACGCTGTAAAAACTAGAATGGAGAAACTGATCTGCAGTGAAAATGGTCACAAATGAAAATACAAAAACAGTGTCATTGCGAAAATGTATCACACCTTCTGCCCCTTTCACTGGTGGTCTTGTGGCTAAGATTTGGCCCTCTCCCCGCTGTGGCCCAGCTTCGATTCCTAGTCAGGGAATAGACACTCTGCTGTGTTATTTTATCGTGGTGACAGCACTTCTAACTGATACTTCAGGAGATGGAAGGTGAACTGTTTAGTCCCAGACGTTACCCAGATTAAAATAAAACAAAGAACTGTGGGAAATATGACACAAAAAGGGAATTGATATGGAAGCTCAACAGGTCTGGCAGCATCTTTGTACAGAAACAGAGTTAACGTATCAGGTCCTGTGACCGTTCGTCAGAACCAGGTTATTTATGCATTTCTGTATTATAATGCCGGGGGAAATTATCGGCTTTATCTGTCAAATCAGCATATTAATCAAAATTGCTCTCTCATTAGCTTACAACTGTCAACTTTACAACTTTAAAGGGATTTCATCAGTTCTGATGCTGCTTCAGTTCCCCTAGGTGGTGAAAGGCTTTGCTTAAATGGTTCCTTTTTCTTTTCCTTTGTGTCAATTAGCAGCCATTTCGAATGGAGAATTGGTTCTTTCAGTGTCTACCTCAATTTGTGTCTCTATTTGTCTCTCTGTGTATCCACCTCATCCCCTTTCACATTCTCCGACTCTCCTTCTGTCAATATCCCTTATTTCCCATTCCTGCTCTGTGTAAAGTCAGAAATTTGAGGATAATTTGAGATTGTAGCTGCTGGGAGGCTTTTTCATCCTGGCTGGAGTGTCTAGACCTGCGCTCGCATTGTCTGGATAATGTATCTGTCACTTCGGACAGAGATAACGAGACATTTCTTCCCTCACAAGATTGTGAATCTTTAGAATTCGAAATAAAATTCCGAATCCGTCAGAAAAAAAAGTCCACCACTATAATAGGATTATAGTGATGGCTTTCCTGTTGGTGTAACCTGAATGAATGGCGACAGCAGAGAACGAGGGTGATCAGCTCGTTTTGTCTGTGCCATTACCACAACATTCCCCGCTAAATCTGCAGTTTATCTTGCCTCACCTCGTTATTCCTGCCAAACTGGGAACGAAGGGATGAGAATAGTAGAAAACGAGAAGCAGACGTGCTTGTGGAACAGCAGAAAGGAACTTCATGATGAATCGAGCAGAAAAAGAGGAGACACTGAAGCAGCCTCCTGACGACAAATGTGTTTTCTTTGCCGGTAAAATGCACCGCTTCACTAAGTGGGAACAATTGAACTGAAGCAGTGACGGTGATTATCTTTGCTCGTTGTTCACCTTATGTCAACCAAACTATTGCTGCTCATGTCCCTGTCAAAACCACAACCCTGCCACATGTAAGCATTGTGCTTTCATGGGTCCAGTGGGACAATGGATGCATACCTATGAATCAGGTGATTGTAGGTTTGCCTCCTACCTGACTCAACTGTAATTCACAAATTCTTTACACTTCCAAATTAATCTTCCTCATTGCCCTGAAACTGAGATGAGCTTTGAATTCCTGACCTGCAGAAACAAGAATCCTTTCAATGTCTCACTTCAGTAATTGTCACCAAGAATATCAGAGGAGGGGAAGCTGAAGTCGTCCCCCAAGCTGCCGGGAATGGAAAGGCAACAAAACAAAAAATGAAATCAGTCTCAACTTTGTGAGTCTTTGGGAAGCTGAATCAGAGGAGAATGAAGGTGAACTTTCCAACTCAGCAGAGACAGTCGGGGAAGCTTCCCCTTCTTTAAGAGGCTGGGACATTGACTCTGATGTTCTCGGGGACATTAACTGACCTGAGACACTGAAAGGATTCCCTTCAGAGACTGCTGTGTGTTTGATTTTGTGACCATCAGGAACAATGAATCCTGATTCCCTGACCGGAAATCGAACCCTGGCCACGTCAGCGAGAGTGCCAAGTCACAACCACTCGACTAACAGGGATGATAGTGAAAATGCATGCTTATTTTCTTACTGACACAGCATTTGGCCTTTTTTCACTGGAGATAAGCTTCTCGAAAATAATCAAGTTACTGAGTTTGTACAGCACGGAAAGATGCCCACAATCCCAGTTTCCAGCACTTAGCCTGTCGCCTTGTATGCTCTGACATTTCAAGCATTCATCTCAAGAATATTTCCTTGTAACGTTTTAATCTCAAGTGGCAAACAATGGGTTTGAGATTTGAGATAGTAAAATTGTATTCACGCCCCCTCGGGGAACTGAACCTCATTTTCATCCACAGAGGGAAACTCACAGACACATTGCCCCAAGAGTGACAGCGGCCTCAGGAGAGACCAAACCGCAGAAAACAAGGCTTTCACCCATCTGTCTTATATCGTCCCATTTCAGACTTCAAAACCAGAGTCTGGTTACAGCAAAGAAAGAAGGCATTTGGCCCCTCCCCTGTCTGTGTTCCTCCCCCATTGTTTCCCCATTACCCTGCAGTTTATCCTGCCTAATCTCATTCTTCCTGCTAAACTGGAACATTGCTCATCTCAGCTGATTCCTGTCCTTCCGAAAGATCGTCCTCAAGTACCTGGAAGGACAAAAAGGAACGTGGTATTTCAAATGCATTTCTGGCTGATTGAGGAAACGACATGGTGGTGTTAACGCTATTTCATCAGAAACAATTTCAAACGACTTTAAAGAGCTACTTTGGTTAGTTCCAGCAAGTGGCGAAAATTCTCTCAGGCCCCAGAAAGAATAGAACTCAAGACGACAGAGAAAACCACTAAACTACAAAGTCATGTATTAGAAACTGCAATGTAAAAGATGACTGGATAGCCTGTGCATCATACACCAAGACAATGTAACAAGTCCGTTACAGAGGTGAGGGTGATCATGTGCAGAAGCATGGGAGAATGCATTGCCAAATCAGACAGTGTCCAGGGTGATATGAACAGAGATCTGCCCTAATTGTCTTGTGAAGAGGATTCAGTGCCTTCACTGCCATGGCCTGTTAATAGTTAACATTTACACTAATAAATATAAACTACTGACTAATCTTTAGATGCAGAATTATGTCATTGACCAGTCAGAATCGCTTCACTGCATGTTGCTGTTCCACATCAGCTGCAATTGCCTGATGTGCAATCGGATTAAAACAAAGAGAGAGGGGAGGTCAGGAAAAGTGAAGGGCCATGGTGGTTTGTGAGAGCTGACTGTAGGCCTAATGGAGCCAGGCCCAATGTGGGTTCTGAAGACTGGTTTTCACTGTTTACCCTGGTACACAGATCACTCCGGATCAATCACCCACAATGACTTTCCTTTGTGTGTTGCCCTTTGCACGTCTCACCTCGGTTCAGTGACCAGAGGGGAGCCATGCATGTTAACTTGGCAAATTTCGCTCAGGTCAGCTTTAGAGACTCGTATTAAGACCATAAACGTTCGGAGCAGAAAGGGACCATCCAGCCCATTCAGTTTGCCCCGCCATTTACTGATCTTTTGTCTGATATGATAATCCTGAACGATACTTTCTTGCCTTTCTGCATAACCTTTGACACCTTTAATGATTAAAAATCTGTCGATCTCACCATTGAATACACTTAATGACCCAGACCTGGCAACCATCTGCTGTAAGGAATTCCACCAATTCACCACCATCTGAGAGAATAAATGCTTCCTCATCTGTCTTAAATGTGCGACACACATTCTAATATCAGGTACTCTGGTACAATATTGCCCAAAAGGAAAGCCAATTCTTTTGTGTACAACATGTAAAAACTCAAAGAAACCTGTATGTTTTAATAATTATTTTTTGTAGTCTTGTGTCTGAGCACGTGCAGTCAATGGATTTCAGCGCTTTTCTCCTGTTTAGTTTCAGCCCTGATGTAAGACTTTCACTGATTCTGACAGAGCTGTCCCCTTTATGCCTTTTAATGTCAGGAATTCACGTTCATTTAAGAATTTGGACAGGAACAATAAAATCCTCATTCCTTTTTGGGATTCAGCAGTGCAACTGCTGTGTTCGTGGTTTCTGTCAGAATCAGTGAAAGTCTTACGTCAGGGATGAAACGAAACAGGAGAAAAGCGCTGAAATCCATTGACACAATACTTGCAACTTTTTGCCTCGCCACTGCTTTTGACCTTTTGTTTCAGTTGCAAAATGATAGTCAGTGAGATTTTAACACCACGGAGAGAGACATTTCAGCCCATTATATCTATGCCAGTCATCAAACATCTCACTTCTAAACCCAGTTTCCAGCACTTGGCCCATCGCCTCGTTTGCTCTGATGTTTCAAGTGCCCATCCAAATAGGTAGTCAATGTTTTGAGGGCATCAGTGGAACTTCCTTCAGCAAATGACAGGAAACATTGTTGTTTGCTGCAACATGAAATCTACGTTTTCCTCTTTGAAGACAGTTATATAAACCAAACTCTTTCTTGGAGCTATTTGCTCATTTTCCTCATGATGCCAACAGTGTATTTTAAATCCCACACCGCCTGAGTTTGCCACTAACGACTCTCCCCTTTCAACCTCTATGCTGACATGGGATGTGGTGTCCCTCAGTTTAAACCACCACCAGTTTTACCTCTGTAAATAAGAAAGCAGAACCCTGTGATCCAGAATGAATATGGCAACTCAGTGTCAGACTTTGTGATATTAAATCTCCGGGATGCAAACGTTTTATACTCTATTAAATGTATTATATATGTGATTTTCCTGATAGGAAGTAAAAAGAAAGATTCCTTGTACATATTACGACAAATGAAGTTCAATCTTTACAATGGTGGGCACTTAACCCAGAATTCCGAGCGCTATGCACAGCATTGCTTATCACTGCGCAAGCTCAGTATGTTCCCACGTGTCAACAGTCTAGAAGCATGCGCAGCCGGAGCGATCCTGAGGAGCAGTCGCTCTTTTCTTCGGCTCCACAAAAGGTAACAATGAGACGGAACGGAGGAGGCGATGGACTGGGTGGTAAGCAGGGAGGCTTTCTAAACACTTCGTGGATGCGGCAGATCTCGCATGAAGAAACTATCTGTCCCCGTTTTACAAAACGGGATAAATCGAGGCTCCTTCTCAACGGCAGGCCGCGGGTAACGGCCGCCATCTTTGTAGGAGGTAAAAGGGCGCAGGGCGCATGTGCGGTAATCCTGGGCCAGGGGAGACAATGTTGTGAATGTTTCTCCTGGACTGACCGAAATGGAGCTCATAAACTGTTTTACAGGGAGTGAGGAAGGGAGCGTTTACACACAGCAAACTCCAAATCAAACATATATTTCCTTCGTTTGAAATTTTGTCCCGGACTGACTGTAATTTTATTTTACGGCATGTTAGAAGAGGATTTGCAGATCGGAAACTCAAACCAAATGATACACCAAGATCGATGTGAGCCACTTTATTTTTTATTCATTCAGTACTCGATATTATTGGCCCTTGAATGTAAGTATTGAGTAAGATAAAAGTAACATAAAATTCCTTCCAGGAGCTATTGCCCATTATCTTAATCTGTATCTTTCATAGTTTTACGATCAGTGAAGAGGAACAGCTGCTCTTTATCTACCTTATTTAAACCTATCGTAAACCCAGACACTTTATCAAATTTCAGCTTAATCTCCTTTGCTCCGTGCAGAACTTCAACATGCTTCTCCAACCTGACCCCACCACTAATTTCCCTCAGTTCTTGAGCCATTCTGATTCATCTGCTTTCAAATCTCTCCTCAGACCCTCACATCCTTACCTGTTTGTGCAAACCTAAATGCTCTGTATTCAAGTGGGTGATGCTATGACACACGGGCAATTGCTCAGTGACATCATCCTGATTGCCAGGTATTTCCTGAGCTGAGAATTCACTCTGATCCCAGTGCTTCAGACTCTGGCATTTGATTTTAAAGTTGAACACAATGAAATTATTTCAATATTTTTAACCAGTAATCTACACAACTCAGCTTCTCATGCTGTTGTCACTTATCTGACTCTGGGGGTATCTTGTCATCCCCTCGTTATGTGGCTGGTGTCAAAAACTCCTTTATAGCACCATCCATTGTGTTGGTTCATTTCTGCTCTCCCTGATCAACTCTCTGTCATTGTCTAACCTGCTCTGTCTCCGACAATGTGTGTAACTGTCTTAGGTATTTTATTGTTACTTCCATTGACTCTCTAAATGAGGTTTTTACAGCTTAACATTGCCTGACCATTTGTTGATGGCAATTATCTTCCCTTAGTAGCTCCCACAATGTTGTTTGGTAAGGTGTTATTCACCAAGTGATGACAAAGGGATTGTGATATGTGTTCAAATCAATGGCAATTAACGAGTATCAATATACTGCCCTTCACATAATGGAAACTTCTAAACTGTTCCTTGGGAGTGTCATAATGCAAGTTTTGACCCTAGACACACAATGAAATATTAAAGCAGTGACAAAATGTTTTATGGTCAAATAAGTTGTTTTCAACCAGTATTTTAAAGCACAAAACTGACATCAAAAGACGGAGAGGTTTAATGAGGAAAGTTCAGTTTGTGGCCTTGGCAGCTAAAGGTTGAGGGAAGCAAATGTGGGACAGTTAAGATCGAGAATGCTGAGGAGGTTGAAATTCGAGGTAATACATAAATCTCAAAGGGCATTTTTAAAAATTAATTCTCGTGGGGTGGTGGGCACCGCTGGCATTTACTGGCCGACCCTAATGGCCCTTGAGAGGGCTGGAGGCTGGAGGACATTACAGGGATAGATAGAGCAGACATGATCAAGAGATTGGAACAGAAGGATGAAAAGTTTAAAATTTAGCTGCATGAGCTCAGTGTGGTGGGTGAACCGGACTTGGTGCGTACACTCTCGCGAGTAGCAGAAATTTGGATGACCTCAGGATTACGTCACTTGGTGAATAACCTGCAACTCCTTCCATTACAGTATTGTGGGACCTTGTGTGTGAAGATAAAGCTGCTAAGACAGCATCCCATGGTTAGGAGAATGGGCAGTGGTTAAAAATCTCAGTTAGATACAGTCAATGAAACACTGAACAGAGCCCAAGTACACCCATTAATAGAGGCAGAGGAAATTAGACGAGTGCAGAGTGGGGAATGTGAGATGACAGTGGAGAGTACATCAGGATAGATAAGTCCAGAGGTAACAAAGGAATGGATAAGAGCTTCAGCAGCAGATGAGCAGAGATGAGGCGGAGTTGGGTGATGTTACTGAGTTGGAAGTGGGCAGCCTTGGTGATGATGGGGATATTTGATTGAAAACTCATCTTTGGGTGAAATATTTCACCATGGTTATGACATGTTTGGTTCAGACTCAGGCAGTTGCTCGGGATGAGTTGGAGTCAGTTGTGAGGCAGTGGAGTTTGTGTTGAGGACTATAGATAAAGGCCTCTGTTTGGCCATTAGTTACTGGGAGGAAATTTCTGCTCCAACAGGACTGAATGTCAAAAAAGTCAGAATGGTGCGTGACCTGGAGGGAACTTGGAGGTGATGGTGTTCACATCCACCTGCTACCCTGCTCCTTCTCGATGGTGGAGGCTGAGTGTTTGGAAGATTCTGACAAAGTCCCGGTCAAGTTGTAGGTCTAAAATCCCTCTTTTCATTCCCTATCTTCACATAGAAGCCAGAGTCTTGTGAGAGATTCTCTCACTCTTTTTTCGTTTGATATCAATTTCACAGGATAATGGACAGGGAAGACTTACAAACTATCACGCTATGATCTGATGGAATCACCCATTTGTCACAAATGGGTAATTTTTTTAACGTGGAAGGAAAATACTCTGCTCACAGTGGAGAGAAACTGTATAGATGTGGTGTGTGCGTGGACAAGGCTTCAGCCAATCATCAGAACTCAGAAGCCACAAATGTAGTCACACTGGGGAGAAGCTGTGGAAAAGTAGGGATTATGGGGAGGAATTCATTTCCCCATCTGAACTGAAAACTCATCGCAGTTACACCAGAAACAGGCAATTCACCTGCTCAGTGTGTGGGAAGGGATTCACTCAGTCATCCAACCTGCTGCAACACCCATTTGTTCACACTGAGGAGAGATCATTTCAATGCCTGGACTCTGATGAAGGCTCCCGACCCAAAATGTCGCCTTTCCTGATGCTGCCTGACCTGCTGTGTTCCTCTAGCTCCACACTACACTGACAGTTCTTTGAACCTCGTTCGGTACTTTGGTATTTCTGCTGATTGTGTCTAAATGAGGTATCCATACCTGCCCATCTCTGGTTACATGCTGCTGATTTTCCAGCTTTATCTTCCCATGATCAGGAATTTTGTGTTATGCACTGGAGATCATTTCTGTTTCTGAGGTAATATTGACTATCAAATACTTGTCACGATGTAAGGATAGCAATGCAAAACAAATTAGTCTCACAGTGAAATTTATGATATTGAATGACCGTCAAAATTGCCCAGATGCTCCTGACCAGACTTTGTGAATAACCGATCTTGGGCACCGAGTTTCAAGAAAGAAGAAATAAGAATTTCTTCAGCAAAACAAACACAATCAACTTGGCAGTCTAATCAATATCTGTGTTTTAAACACAACCTTCTTCTTGTATAACATCCACTCTCACCGATTCACAGGCACACATAAGGAATATACTGAACAGAAAATAAAATTAATGTAAATTTTTAGTTCAATTAAACAGTTTCAAACAATGGATATCAAGCCTCTGTGCAATCCTTGGATAATGAGTTGTTCACAGACACGTAAAAGTTCATCAAATTTCCAAGTCAGCAGTGAATGTAACAGTTTTGGCAAACTTCCCTAAATATTCTCTTATTTCCTATGTTGCGTTTCTCGGAGCATTCAACAATCTGATAACTGGATAGAAATTGAGAGATCGAGCAGCCCATCCAAAAGCTTCCAAAATCACTCTGCTCCTCCTTGACCTTCTTGAACTGCTGCAGTCCATGTGGTGAAGCTCTTCGCAGATTGCTGTTCGCTAAAGAGTTTCAGGATTTTCATTCAGTGGTGATACGGTAGTGCTGATATCTGTGTTCGTTGCAGTCGTTTTGTTTTAATGTCCCACCTTTAACAGAATAGAAACATAGAAAATAGCAACTGGAGTAGGCTATTGTGACATTCGATGCTGCTCTAATATTTAGTGTGATCATGGCAGATTGTTCAAATCGTAGCCTGTTCCCATTTTAGGGCCATATCATTTGATCGCTTTCGCCCTCAGAACAATATGTTCCTCTTGGCTTTAACTGCTTTCCATGGCAGCACATTCCACAAGCTCACCAGTCTCTGAGAAAAGAAATCTTCCCTCATCTCGGTCCGAAACAGCGTACTCTACATCCTTAAACTATGATCCCCTGGTTCTGGACTTCCTCGTCATTGACAGCCTCCTTCTTGTATTTAACTTGTTAGTCCTGTTAGAATTTTATTGGTTTCTGTGAGATCTTCCCACAAAATTCTAAACCCTAGATCATCCTATCTGATCTATTCTGTCATAATATGTCAGTCCTGCCATCCCAGGAATCAGTCTGGTAAACCTTAATTGGGCAGCCTCCATAGCCAGAACATCCTTAGTCAGAAAAATATTCCAAAACTGCACACAGTGCTCCAGGTGCGGTCTCACCAAGACATCCCTGTTCCTGTTCTCAAATCCTCTCCCTATGAAAACCAACTTAGCATTTGTTGCCTTCACTTCCTGCCTGTACCTTCATGCTTACTTTGAGTGACTTGTGTACAAGGACAAACAGGTCTCAGTTCTCATTTCTCTTTTCTAAATCCAAGCTGACTGACTCTGACTCTGTCCAATCCTGTTACTGTTTTCCAGTGTTGGACTAACCGGTCTATAAGTCCGTGTTTTCTCTCCTCCTCCTTTTTTACATGTTGGCTTACATTAGCTCCCCTCCAATCCATGGGAACTTTTCCAGAGTCTATAGCATTATGAAAGACCCATTAATTTCCTCAATTGAGATTCAAGCCCCAAGTTTCAGAATGCATCCGCCAACTCTCAGGCTACTTTGTTAAGTACTCTGGGGCATATACTACCAGGTGCTGGGATTTTGTTGGCTTTTAATCCCATTAATTTCCCCAACATGATTTCCCTATTAATACTGATTTCCTTCACTTCGGGCCTCTCGTGTTCCCCAGCATTTTAGGGATATTATTGATGCCATCATTTGTGATGACAGAACCAAAGTATGTAGTTAATCGGTCTGTTCGTCTCTTTATTCCACATTCTAACTTCCCCTGTTCCTGATTATAAGTGACTTGTTTTCATTATTTTTTTCTCTCTCTTTATATCCCTTTTGGCGCTTTTACAATTAGTTTGTGTGTTCCCTGCAAGCTTACTCTTAGACTTTATTTTTCCCTTCTTAAACAATCCCTTAATCCTCTTTTGCTGAAATCTGAACTGCTCCCTGTCTTCAGGTCTGCTGCTCTTTTTAGCCAATTTTTACAGATCTTCCTTGGATCCAGTACTATCCCTCATATCCCTTCTTAGCCAAGAAAGGGCAATCATTCCCGTTTTATTTTGTGCCAGACAGGAATGAGCAACAGTTGCAGTTCCTCCAAGTGCTCTCTAAATGTTTGTCAACCTCCTTAAAGCTTAAGTTCCTCAAGTTATTGCAGCCTGCATGCGCCTCATAACACTGTAATTTCCTCTATTTAGATTTTGGCACCTAGTCTCAGAATCGACTGTCTCACTCTCCATCTTCACGAAGAGGTCTTCACTTTTCCACATGGGGCTTTTCACAGCTCGATTGCCAATTAATCCGTTTTCATTACACAATTAAAATTTTGAAATAACGTCCCAGAAGATCGTAGAACTGTTCTCTCTCGCTCTACAGATGGAGAGACGACTAATGCGGTAACCCTGAGATAAACCACCACCTCAGGCAATGGGCATGGTTAAGATGGTGGGACCTTTGTGGTGACCTCAGCTGTTACAGGAATTGAGCATGTGTTGTCGGTGTCACTCTGTGTCACAAACCAGCTGTCCAGCCAACTGAGCTAGCCCACCCTGACCATTACACAATACACCATTGAGGATGGCCTGTCCTCTCTTTGGGTACTCAATATATCGATCTAGAAAACCATATCGTACACACTCCAGGAATTTCTCCTCTATGGTATTGTTCCTGATTTGATTTGCTCACCCTCTGTGCCGTTTGAAGTCACCCATAATAACCATAAGAGCACAAGATAGAGGAGCAGAATTAGGCTATTCGGCCCATCAAGACTGCTCCATAATTTGATTGTGACTGATATGTTTCTCAACCCCATTCTCCTGCCTTCTCACATAACCACTTGTCCCCTTACCAAGCAAGAACCTTTTTATCTCTGTCATAAATACACTCAATAACTTGGCCCCCACAACCCGCTACGACAGTGAATTCCACTGAATCACCACACTCTGGCTGAAGAAATTCCTTCTCATCTCAGTTCTAAAGGGTCATCCATTTGCTGAGAGGCTGTGCCCTCAGGCTCTAGTCTCTCCTACCAGTTGAAACATCTCCATGGCCATCTATCCAGGCCTCTAGGTATTCTGAAAATTTCTATCACATAGAGCCATAGAGTCTGATAGCATGGAAGCAGACCAATCAGTCCAACCAGTCCATGCTGACCATGTTCCAAAATTAATGTAGTCCCATCTGCCTGCACATAGCCCATGGCTGTCTGAACATTTCTTATTTATGTATTATCCAAACGTCTTTTAAATGTTGTAAACTGTACCTGTATCCACCACTTCCTCTGGAAGTTCATTCCATACACGCACCACACTCTTGGAAAAAATAATGGTTGCCCATCATGCCTTTTCTCAATCTTTCACTTGTCACCTTAAAAATATGCCCCTAGTCTTGAAATCTCTAGGGAAAAGACACCTGCCATTCACCTTATCTGTACTCCTCAAGGGCAGGACTTAATTAATGGTAGGGCCCGAGGTACCTTTGTATTTAACATGGTGCCATAAGTGGCAACTTGTAAACTTTTCACTGTATTCACGTGAGTACATGTGACAATAAAGCTAATTCTATTTGATTGAAAATATGCCCCCTGGCCCCCCACCCCAGAGAAAGGACACCTGCCATTCAACATATCATTCCCCTTCAGGATTTTACAAACCTCTGTAAGGTCAACCTCAACGTGCCACACTCCTGTGAAAGGAGTCCCAGCCTGTCTTTATGACTCCATCCCTGTATTCTCAGCAACGTCCTGGTAATACTCATCTGAACTTTCTCCAACTTAATAATATCCTTGCTATAACACGACGACCAGAACTGGACACAGTACTCCAGAAGAAGCCTCACTGACGTCCTCTACAACCTCAACGTGACATCCCAACTTCTGTACACAATGGTCTGAACAATGAAGGTGAGCATACTAAACACCTTCTCAACCATCCTGTCTATATGTGACACAAATTTCAAAGAATTACGTAACTGAACCCTGTGATCTCTTTGTTCTCCAATATCCACGGCCCTACTTTTAATTGTATAGGTCCTGCCTCCCTTGTTTGTTTTACCACAATGCAGTATCCTTGCGTTTATTCAAATTAAACTCCATCTGTCACCCCTCAGCCCATCGGCCCAATAGATCAGGATCTCTTTGAAATCTTATAACCTTCTTCACTGTCCATTACAGCATTAATTTTGGTCTCATCCGCAAAGTTATAAACCATGCCTTCTGTATTCTCATCTAAATCATTTATGCAAGTGTCAAACAAAAGTGGACCCAATACTGATCCCTGCAGAACACCACTGGTCACTGCTGAACACCAGGCCTTCAGTCGAAAAACAGCCCTCCACTACCACAGCCTGTCTGCTGACGTTAAGCAAATTTTGTATCCAGTTGGCAAGCTCACCCTGGATCCCATTATAAGCTTATATGGAACCGTGTCAAGCGTTTTACTAAAGTCCAAATAACCAATGTTTCCTGCCTTGCCCTCATTGGTCATCTTGGTTACTTCACCAAAAATCTCAACCAAATTTGTGAGACACGATTTCCCTTGCATAAAACCATGCTGATTATCCATAATCATTCCTTGCCTCTCCAAACGCTATCTTTCAGAATCACTTCCAACAACTTATCCACCATCAAAGTCAGACTCTCATGTCTATAGTTCCCAGGCTTCTCCTTACATCTGTCAAATGAAGGCATAACATTCGCCACTCTCTAGTCATCTGGTACCTCACCTGTAGTTATAGATGATAGAATATTTCTGCAAGGGGCCCAACATTTTGTCTTTAACTTTCCACAACATAATGGGATGCACAAGAGAAGGTCGTACGATTTAGAGTCAGAGTAATACAGTGTGGAAACAGGTCCTTTGGCCCAAACTGATCCATGCTGACCATGGTGCCCATTCAGCTATTTCCAATTGTGAGTTTGGTCCATATCCCTCTTTAACCCTTCCCATCTATGTACCTATCCAAATGTTTTTTAAATGTTGCTGTTGTACCTGTCTCAACCACTTTCTCTGGCAGCCCATTCCCTATGTGCACCATTCTCTGCACGAATAAGTTTCCCCTCAGGTCCTTCTTAAATCTTTCCCCTCTCACCTTGAACCTATGACCTCGAGTTTTCAATTCCCCATCCCTGGGAAAAAGACGACACGCATTCATCCTATCTCTGCCCCTCATAATTTTATACACCTCAATAAGGTCAACCCTCATTCTCTGACATTCCAAGGAATTAAGTCCTATC